GACGCAGTTTCTCTGCAGTGATCTGGATAACTTTTATCGGATTATACTTTAAATGGTAAATTGCTTAGTAGGGTTAATTCGATTACCGACTTAGGGGTTTGCTTTAATAATAAGCTATCATTCGCCAATCGCTACGACTATGTAGTTTACAAGGCAAACTCTATGTTGGGATTTATTAAACGCTGGTCCAGAGAGCTTAATGATCCCTATATTTTGAAGTCCCTCTGTCTCTAGTTCGTCCCCATCTCGAATATGTCCTACAAGTTTGGTCGTGATATTCATATTTCAATTTATGAAATCTGATTAGCTTTTATAGTTCCGTATCATAGAACTGATTATGGAAAACACAAAAATGTTAGTAGAATGTTGAACCTGTGTAACAAGTTCAAGAGCATACTTCATCTCACTTTACCAAGAACGCTATAAAAAAACGCTTATTTTCTTGTAGATAATTCATCCTTTTTCTATATGATTCTAACTTAATTAATAATAATACATGTATTGTAATTTTAGAACATCTGTAGTCTTTTGTATTGTTTTTATTTTGTTTTTTTGGATTTAATATAGATTTTAATTTGCTGTAAGTCAAAATATGTGAATTGATATGTATTTTATATTGTAATAAGTTAGGGCTAAGCATGTAAAATTTTTTTTTTAGATTTATTATCTATATGTAGCGCTAAAACAGGTCAAAATGACCAACCATCTGCTTGTTTCTGTAATCCTAGCCTAATTAAATAACACTTGCTGAATCACATAATTGCTTTTCAACATTTTATCTGTTTCCTGTCAAATCAATTTCATATTATTTTAATATACACATAATATAGACTAATCAAGATTTATAACCAATCGTAAGGTCTCTTTCGTTTTAATTTTCTGGAACCATTTTCATCCCCTGTTAAACTGAGTTTTAATGCTTCAATGTTAGTATGTGATGCTAATTTTTCGTAATGTTTTACAGCGAATCTTTTTATTTCTTCTTGGACTGTTTTTATTTTGAGGTCTCGATGTACCATGGTGCTTTAACGATGTTTCTAAGTACTTTATTTTGAAACCTCTGGATGATATCTACATGACATTTACTAGCGCAACCCCAAAGTTGTATTCCATAAAGCCATATTGGTTTTAATATCTGGTTATAAGTTAAAAGTTTATTACCTATACTGAGTTAGGAGTAATAACCAATCAGCCATTGTAACTTTGCATATTTAATTTTTAATTCTGTTAATTTACTGTTAATGTGGTCTCTCAATAATAGCTTTTTGTCCAGTATCATACCGAGGTACTTGACTTTTCCTTTATTAGGTGTGATTTTACCGTTTAAATATATTGGTAAGTTCTGGCAATTTTGTTTGTTTGTAAAATTTATGTGTATTGACTTTTGTTCATTTATTTTTATTTTCCATTTATCTGTCCATTCTAAGATTTTGTTTTTGCATATTGTAAATTTTGTGTTGATGTATTTATATTTTCGTAATAACGTATTTTTGTTAATAACGCAGTGTTATCTGCAAATGTAGCCACTGTTACTTTATCGAAAGTTGGTAGATCATGAGTGTAAAGTAGGTACAAAAACGGTCCCAGGATACTTCCCTGCGGTACACCTGCCATTACTTCCATTAATTCAGAATATTGATCTTCAATTTTTACCCTAAATAATCTATCCCTTAGATACGATGATATGAAATCGACGTATGATGATAGTAAAAATTTTTTAATTTTGGTGATCAAGCCTGTGTGCCATACTCTGTCGAATGCTTGTGTCATGTTCAGAAAATTTTTTTCTTTTCCTCTAACGCATTTTTTATTATATTCGTAATACGATGGGTTTGTTCAATTGTTGAATGTTTCTCCCTAAAACCAAATTGATAGTTTGGTATTATGTCTTTATTTTCCACTATATTTTTTAGGTTCCTTAGAAACAATTTCTCAACTAGGTTCGATAGTATTGGTAATAATGAAATATTACCAATACATCGGCATGTGTTTTAACCTAAAACAGGTGTTAATGAGCTTTGTTAAAAATAATATACCTCTCCTTGATGGAAGGAGCACATAAGGAAAAAGAGATCTCAACTTGAGGAGGAATACAGAATGTTTCAATGGGAAGGCGTTCTAAGTTGAGAATATACAACAAAGTTTTGATATACCACCAAATATTTAAGCCAGTCTGGGCTTACGATATTCAACTGGGGGGCTGCGCTGCTCGGACTCACATTCAATGCAACGAACTCACGTGCACCGTTTGACACATTAATTATCCCTCAAAACATATATTCGCTGGACGAAATGTTTGAAGGGTATATGATGTGGCAACACTGGCTGCTTACATTATTGCTTGCACAAATGCAAAGAACATAAATACACTATAATAGATTATAAGAATACGTATTGAATAATGAAATGAATCAGTCTTGAAACAGAACTCAACTAAAAAGGTGTTTTAACTGCGTCTACACTTGCTGCTATAATCTGGTATGTCCGTCCCTAGTAAGTCCGTAATGATGATATACACAGAGATCTCAGGATCCAGAGTGTCAAAGACGAAATTGAAAAGCAAGCAGCCAATCATAAAATTTGTTTATGATTAATTATATGTTAACGTCGAGGCGACTCGTCTGGTTGACAATCAAAACTTTGTAAGGAAACTTTAACGTACGAGACCTCTCGAGTTAGCTTAATCTTTTTTATCTGGAACGTCATATACCTATTACGATGTTGTGGCAGATCAAAAACGAATGAAATTTTAAAAAAGTCAGTTAAAATTTTTAAAAAGTTTTAGTGGGTAAGGGGCCGACATTACTGTTCCTTCGTATAGCAGTGTCTTTCGAAATTTTTACCCTCGGCATGGCAAAAAAAAAATTTGTTTACAATATTTTGTTTCATAGCAAAGGCTTTAAATGTCAAGATGTTGTAAATAAAACCAAAAGGCAAAAAGAAAATGGAAAATATATTTCATTAAATCTTCCGCTCTTTATGTTATCTTTTGACAATTTGGAAGAGATAACCAAAATCTATAAAATAGAATAGCACATCAGAATAAAAATTGAAGCTCTTAGAAGCAGCAAGTCCATTCCGCAATGAAAAAGATTCTGCAATGCAAAAGATTCCGCAATATTTGTACACACAAAAGTTTTGCTAAAGAGAGCTGTTTAAAATGTAACCATACGACAGCAGAGTGCAACAAGAAAGATAATTTTCATCCTAAATGTGCGAACTGCAATGAGGCACACCCTGCTGATTATCGAGGCTGTTTGGTTGCAAAAGAATTGCAAAAAGATTAAAACAGAATAAAATCAAACAAAATCAAGTTAAATTTAGTGAGCTCCAAAAATAGCCAGAATAATAATACAAAGTGTTAAAGGAAGTATCATATTCGCAGGCGTTTTAAAGAAAAACAGAATATAAAAATTAATAAGGAACCTGAGAACAAAACCCCACAAATGAAAAGAACTGACGCAGACATTATGCAAGTGATGCATGGTATTGATTAGAATTGACGAGATCTCTAAAAATAGAAAATGGATAAATTATTAAAAATAGAAAATGGATAAACTGAGGTGCATTCAGGGACACCAAAGAAAATAAGAAAAGATGTATGTAAATGAAATTCATATAGTAACTTGAAATGCTAATGGTGTTCTTAATAAGAAACAAGAATTAAAGATTTTTCTCAAAACGAGAAATATAGATATTTCTTTGCTGTCGGAAGCTCATTTGACATATTATACGGGCCTTAAAAGAAAAGGTTATGACTGCTATAAAGCGGTATATCCCAGCAATCTAGCCAAGAAGAGGTAGTGCAATACTGGTAAAAGAAAGTATAGAACATAATGAAGAATTCAAGATAGAAACGGCTGAAATTCAGCTTATTTCGATAAAAATTAAATTTACCAAACAGGACTTTAGTGTCGGTGCTGTATACTATCCACCGAATTGCAGCATTAAGAAAAATTCTTTTAATGATCTCCTGTACAAACATGGACATACATACTTAATAGGAGGTGACAATAATGTCAAACATACAGATTGTGGTTCTAGAATCACCTCAACTATAGGAAGAGAGCTTAAGAAAAGCTATTCAAGAACTAGATTTTTGCTATCACTCCACTGGCACTCCTACTTATTGCCCTACTGACACTAACAAGATTCCTGATGTTATTGACTTTCTTATAACCCAAAAAAATATCCATAACAATTATGATTTTAGTTCAGATCACTCTGCTGTTATATTAAAACTAAGTGAAAAAATAATTAGAACATATTAATATACAATCAAGAGAACAATTAGATCTTGAGTTAGAAGGATTTATTAAAATCATACATTATTAAAATCAGAAACTGCATGGAACAATACAAAACGTCAAAGTACAAACCGACTGCAAATAGAATAATATTTCATATTTAAAAAAAATAATATACGAATAATATTTAAAAAAAAATTTAAATTTGTAATTAGTAATATTGTTATTTAATGGTATAAAAATAAATTATGGATTTTTTATTTTTATTTCAATCTTGTCTTTATAAATTTAAAACTCGTATTTCATATGAATATACATATGTACACCCATATCGGTAAAAACTGTATTTCATAAAGTATTAATCAGTATGTATCTTTATAAATTGCTTTATTTCTATATCACTACCTGATACTGTTTATCTACTGTACAATGTACATACATGAGCTGTATTGTACAAAACATGAACTTAATGTATAACTTTATTCAATTTTATTTCAGTTCGATGTTTTTGATACACTCGTTCGTTTACAATATTGTATTGCCTACACAACTCTTATTTCCATCTATTTATGAAGAAAAACGGAATATCTTGAGAAAAGCTCGAACTACTTCCGCTACTTCTTAAATAGATACATATGTATGTATATGTATGTAGGTAGTTTGCTAATTTCATGAAGTGAAAATTGAATTTAATTTCATAACATTATGTATATACATACATACATACATATTTGAAAGAAACCAATTTTTTAAGATTGTATAATATTATTTTATTTAATCCTTAATAATTAAAAATAATACATTAAAAACATTTGTTTTCATTTTCCTTTCTTAATCTTTGTACATATATCCAAAATCGAAGAAAAATTGAAACTTAAAAATTTTTTTGAATAAATTACCGTAAATGTTTACAAAGGAGAATTCGGCGGCTTCTTACTAAAATAAGGCGCTATATTTGGTGTTAGCACTGTATGACATATGTCGCAAACCCTTGCCATTTTTTGCCGCGGTCCAGAAGGAACTACTTTTGTTAAGCACTTTTCACAAAATATTTTGCCACAATGACGACAGTGTTGTTTCCTACATGTGACTGTGAATGTCACAGAGCAATTAGGGCATTTTTCAACATCATCATCATCTTGCCGACGAACTTGCGTATCTGCTTGACGTATACCTTCTAGGGTAATCTGAGCATTATAAAAAAAAAACATAAAAATATAATAATAGTAAGTAATAATAGGAGTCTGGCATAAAATTTGAAAAAACTTCAAAAAAAGAAAAATATTGTTAAATTGAAAGTTTGATAAAATGAGTAAAAAAAATTTATGTCCAAATGTGTTGTCACTGCCCTGGTATAATACCATCGCCTAGAAAGAGCAATTCTTATTTTTCTTTTTCGATTTGAACAAAAAATGTATAGTTTTTTTTAGAAAAAAAAAATTATAGAGGTTCAAGCGATACAGACCTTCTCATTGTCATTTAACAGAGTACTGAGTTAAATTAAGAAAAAAAAAATTAAAACAAATATAAATCGAATAATTTTCATTTTCATCCTTAAGCGCAACAATTAAATTCCTTTAATTGTTCATTTCTCTTATACTTAATATACGAAAATAAAAATTAACCAAGTAAAAACGTTTCAGTCGGTAGAAACCGATTGAATTATACCCTGCACCTTTCGTTATTATGTAGCAACTACTCGAGCCTGTGAAGTCATTCTATAGAAACTTCACGGATATGTCTGACCTATAATTGGACATCCGACTGCCAAGTTTCATGAATCTGACTTTATTCTTTTTCCAAATATTTAAAATAAGCTTTTAGATACTCGAACCTGTCAAGCAATTTAAACAAAATTTCAGAAATATATCTGATCTATAACTCGACACACAACTGCCAAGTTTCATGAATCTGACTTTATTATTTTTCCAAATATTTAAAATTAGCTTTTGGAGTTATATGGCAAGTACCTGAACCTGTCAAGCAATCCCATCAAAACTTCACAAATATATCTGGTCTATAATCGGACACACAACTGCGAAGTTTCACGAATCTGAATTTATTATTTTTTCAAATATTAAGAATAAGCTTTTAAACTTGTATGGGATCTACTCGAACCTGTCAAGCAATTCTACCAAAACTTCACAAATATATCTGACCTGTAATTCGACATACAACTGCCAAGTTTCATGAATCTGACTTTATTATTTTTCCAAATATTTAAAATTAGCTTTTGGAGTTATATGGCAAGTACCTGAACCTGTCAAGCAATCCCACCAAAACTTTAGAAATATGTCTGACCTACAATTGGACACACGACTGCCAAGTCTCATGAATCTGACTTTATTCTTTTTCCAAATATTTAAAATAAGCTTTTAGATACTCGAACCTGTCAAGCAATTTAAACAAAACTTCAGAAATATATCTGATCTATAACTCGACACACAACTGCCAAGTTTCATGAATCTGACTTTATTATTTTTTCAAATATTTAAAATTAGCTTCTGGAGTTGTATAGCAGGTACCTGAACCTGTCTAGCAATTCCTCTAAAACTTCAGAAATATATTTGACCTATAATTGGACACATGACTGTCAAGTTTCATGAATCTGACTTTATTATTTTGCCGAATATAAAAAATTTGCTGTTGGAGTTGTATGGCAGCCACCCGAACCGGTACTTCCCATTATAATTTTTAGAGCATGTTTAGAATATAATTGGACACATTTATACAAAATTTTATATTTATAACTTTATTAGTTTTTGAAATATTTAAAATAAACTCTTTGAGTTGTATGGCAGCTATCCGAACCCGTTGTCCGAATTACTCCAATACCAATAGGGTTCGTCCTTGGCACAAAAGAAAAAACTTGTGAAAGTTTGGTGTCGATTGCATTATTCGTTTTTGAGTTATCGTGCGATCGGACGGACGTACGGACGGACGGGCATTTCTAAATCGACGCAGAATTTTACGCTGATCAAGAATATATATATATGTTCATACCGCAGATGACTCCTTCAAGTAGTTACAAACTCCATACCAAAGTTAATATACCCTTCACGAAGTGCAGGGTATAAAAAGGAGATTTACTTCTTCAATAGTTGTTTTCAAACTAAACAAATAATTCTAATAGAAAATAAATTGACGAAACAGAAGTAGTTCAGAAAATTTTTAAAATGCGTTGACCTTATACTAACCAGGGCAGTGGTTTGGTTATACAAAAAAGTGAAAGTTTTGATTTTGAATCCAGCCAAAAATTTATTGTTGATCAAAGAAACTTTTTAGCAAAATAAAACTTCCTGACATAACCAAGTACATACAGTATGAATTTTGACAAATTTATGATTTTATAATTTTTCAAAAACGCTACATTTTACTTTAAAAAACTAAAACCCTTTGCGGTCCGTGCATTTTTTGCGTCTGTTGGTAGTCAACTCGAAGGACTTTTAAGAAATATTTTGTAATACGATACTTTGAAAAAAATGCTGCAATTTTTGGAAAAAATGATTTTTTATTAACTCGTATTAACTCAAAAACTTAGATAACTTAAATGTATCTAAAAATAAATTCAAATTCCAAATATTTAATTTGGTTGACATTTTTTTTATAACATAAACGGAAAAAAACTATTTTGATGAAGTTTTTGTAGAAGTGCATTAAACATCTCTAAATTATTTAAATATTGATTAATAATATTAAAATTTATTCGTACAATAGGGTAAATTAATTTAGCAGAATAATAATTTATTTCTTATAAACTTTTCTACTGAGATTACTCATGAAACAGTCGCCTACATGTAGACCGGGTTTTCTTGTATGTACATGTATCACAATGGATTAACTCAAATTGTGAAATAATTAACCGTTAAGATCGCAAATGCATACAAAACAACAAAGAACAGAGAGAGAACATGTCTAATTTTAAAAAAGTAACGGTATCAGCTATAAATTTATGTTTTGACTAGAAATTATTACAAAATAAAATATTGCCAGTTGAACTGGCCGTTGGAGTAGATCGTCTTTATTTGTTATACCAGCCAAACTGATAGTTGGAGTGCAAAGGGTTAAAAATGTAAGATTAAAAAAATGGTGACGTTATCATTTCCTCTTACTTTTGCTCAAAAATTATTATACCAGACGCTTTGCACAATAAAACAATATAAAGTTTTTAAAAATTTTCTTACACCAGACAGACTTAATATATAATACACACATGTGTAGATCACTTTCCCAAACCGTTGACCATTTGACCAACATCACACATCAATCACTTTCAAAGGCAAATAAAAATCATAGGAAGTGAAAGCTCAGACAGAAATTATGTGATGGCGCTGAGATGTCTTTTACCTTTTGAGAGCACACATGTTCCACTTTTTTCCAGCAATATTTAAAAAATGAGATAAAACATATGTATTTAAACCAGTCTTAATAAAAACAAAATTACCTAACGACTTTACTTTTAGCTCTCACTGAGAGCAAATGCAAACTATTTCAGACTATATTTTATAACTACTTGAAACTATAAGAAACTGTAAGGGTTTTTCTTTTACTTTGTTTCAAAAATGGCCATGTGTACCATTAATGCAAATTTTTTTAGTAAAAATTCTATTATTTTGTTCTTCTTGATATATTTTTCATTCCATTTTTTTTGTTCTTTTTTTTATTGAATATTTTAAATAATAGACAAAATAGTGAATAGATTAATAGATGAAGAGGGTGAAGGAGATCCAAACCTAGGAGATATTGGTGTGTGAAAAGTTAAGTCTGATTATGAGGAAAAAATATTTCATCAACTTCCAACAACTTCTACAATAAGTTATATCATTAAAGGGAAAAATTACTTTAGATAAAGCTCCCAAGTTCTCGAATGTCTTGGTAGATTAAAAATTTCTAAATTAGTGCTTCATTTTTCCGACCGAAAGATATAGCTAAAGACGTTACCACATCTCTAGAATCCTACGAAGTATTATTTGACAATATCACGATAGAACTCATAGTAAAGTAACTTCGATTATTACTTCCAGAAGTAAAAGAACCTTATCTGTCCGGTACAGAAGAGTCACGAAATTAAGTAAAAGAAAAAGGTGTAACTTTTGTGTTTACAAGTTAAAAAAAACGTTCATATACGTGTTGGAATTTATTGGCAAATAAGTGATTTCATTAACGACTACATTGCATACAATAAGAGAATTTATGTTATTATTCTCAATAAATTTTGCATTTTCCTTGGTAGGAAAGTGTAAATAAACTATTTTTAGAAACCTGTCGCCCTGTCTGCCCGGCTGAACCGATCTTCTTGAAATTTTATATGTGAGTTTGTTTTGGCTATGTCGCGGATTTATTAACTTTTTTGATATATCAGCCTTGGATTTTTTTGCGAGCCAATTTTAGATGTTTGCCTATATAAAGAGAAATAATTAGTCAATTTCATTGCGGTCGGTTATGTACTGATCACATTAAATTTTTTGAGATTGAAATACAAAGATATTAAAAAATAAAAAGTCTAATGTAAATTTAAGAAGAAGCGACAAAAGTGGTACAAGTTTGCCCTAAAAGCTCCTATAATATAAGTGTGCTCTCAAAAAATTAATTTTACTACGGAAATTTTAACCAAAACAAAAATCAGCTGGTCGTTGTTACAAATTTAAAAAATTAATTTTTTCCCGCTTTACTGTTAAAAAATCTGAGAGTAAATCTAATGAGAATAAAGTAATTTCTAATTTCTTAGATTTCGCCGTACATGTAATTTGTAACTAAAGATTGAAAATCACTTGCGCTAGCAACAAGAACTGAGGCACGTAACATTAGCCCCGATCTGTAGCGGAATTGATAACTTTGATAACTGATGTTTTCCAAAGAAGATGGCTACTTACCTGAAGGGATTGAGAAAGTTTTACGAAGTCTTTTTGCACATCTTCTCCCATTTTCAAATCTTCTTGCAGATTAATTATTTTACATTTCAAATCATCATTATTTCTTCTTAGTTTTTCCTAGAATTTCAATATTTTAGTAGAAGTTGCAAAAGCTTTACATTTCATAAGCTTTACATTTTCTCCTTGTAATTCAATAACTTGCACTCTTAATTCAGAAATACTTTTACTCATTTCTGATTCTTTTCTTTCAGCTTTTTCCTTTTTCGTCTCATAATCTTCACCTTGAAGTAGATATTCACGCAAACGATCACTAAAAAGCTTTTATAGTACTAAACGATCACTAAGCTTTTATAGTTCCGTATCATAGAACTGATTATGGAAAACACAAAAATGTTAGTAGAATGTTGAACCTGTGTAACAAGTTCAAGAGCATACTTCATCTCACTTTACCAAGAACGCTATAAAAAAACGCTTATTTTCTTGTAGATAATTCATCCTTTTTCTATATGATTCTAACTTAATTAATAATAATACATGTATTGTAATTTTAGAACATCTGTAGTCTTTTGTATTGTTTTTATTTTGTTTTTTTGGATTTAATATAGATTTTAATTTGCTGTAAGTCAAAATATGTGAATTGATATGTATTTTATATTGTAATAAGTTAGGGCTAAGCATGTAAAATTTTTTTTTTAGATTTATTATCTATATGTAGCGCTAAAACAGGTCAAAATGACCAACCATCTGCTTGTTTCTGTAATCCTAGCCTAATTAAATAACACTTGCTGAATCACATAATTGCTTTTCAACATTTTATCTGTTTCCTGTCAAATCAATTTCATATTATTTTAATATACACATAATATAGACTAATCAAGATTTATAACCAATCGTAAGGTCTCTTTCGTTTTAATTTTCTGGAACCATTTTCATCCCCTGTTAAACTGAGTTTTAATGCTTCAATGTTAGTATGTGATGCTAATTTTTCGTAATGTTTTACAGCGAATCTTTTTATTTCTTCTTGGACTGTTTTTATTTTGAGGTCTCGATGTACCATGGTGCTTTAACGATGTTTCTAAGTACTTTATTTTGAAACCTCTGGATGATATCTACATGACATTTACTAGCGCAACCCCAAAGTTGTATTCCATAAAGCCATATTGGTTTTAATATCTGGTTATAAGTTAAAAGTTTATTACCTATACTGAGTTAGGAGTAATAACCAATCAGCCATTGTAACTTTGCATATTTAATTTTTAATTCTGTTAATTTACTGTTAATGTGGTCTCTCAATAATAGCTTTTTGTCCAGTATCATACCGAGGTACTTGACTTTTCCTTTATTAGGTGTGATTTTACCGTTTAAATATATTGGTAAGTTCTGGCAATTTTGTTTGTTTGTAAAATTTATGTGTATTGACTTTTGTTCATTTATTTTTATTTTCCATTTATCTGTCCATTCTAAGATTTTGTTTTTGCATATTGTAAATTTTGTGTTGATGTATTTATATTTTCGTAATAACGTATTTTTGTTAATAACGCAGTGTTATCTGCAAATGTAGCCACTGTTACTTTATCGAAAGTTGGTAGATCATGAGTGTAAAGTAGGTACAAAAACGGTCCCAGGATACTTCCCTGCGGTACACCTGCCATTACTTCCATTAATTCAGAATATTGATCTTCAATTTTTACCCTAAATAATCTATCCCTTAGATACGATGATATGAAATCGACGTATGATGATAGTAAAAATTTTTTAATTTTGGTGATCAAGCCTGTGTGCCATACTCTGTCGAATGCTTGTGTCATGTTCAGAAAATTTTTTTCTTTTCCTCTAACGCATTTTTTATTATATTCGTAATACGATGGGTTTGTTCAATTGTTGAATGTTTCTCCCTAAAACCAAATTGATAGTTTGGTATTATGTCTTTATTTTCCACTATATTTTTTAGGTTCCTTAGAAACAATTTCTCAACTAGGTTCGATAGTATTGGTAATAATGAAATATTACCAATACATCGGCATGTGTTTTAACCTAAAACAGGTGTTAATGAGCTTTGTTAAAAATAATATACCTCTCCTTGATGGAAGGAGCACATAAGGAAAAAGAGATCTCAACTTGAGGAGGAATACAGAATGTTTCAATGGGAAGGCGTTCTAAGTTGAGAATATACAACAAAGTTTTGATATACCACCAAATATTTAAGCCAGTCTGGGCTTACGATATTCAACTGGGGGGCTGCGCTGCTCGGACTCACATTCAATGCAACGAACTCACGTGCACCGTTTGACACATTAATTATCCCTCAAAACATATATTCGCTGGACGAAATGTTTGAAGGGTATATGATGTGGCAACACTGGCTGCTTACATTATTGCTTGCACAAATGCAAAGAACATAAATACACTATAATAGATTATAAGAATACGTATTGAATAATGAAATGAATCAGTCTTGAAACAGAACTCAACTAAAAAGGTGTTTTAACTGCGTCTACACTTGCTGCTATAATCTGGTATGTCCGTCCCTAGTAAGTCCGTAATGATGATATACACAGAGATCTCAGGATCCAGAGTGTCAAAGACGAAATTGAAAAGCAAGCAGCCAATCATAAAATTTGTTTATGATTAATTATATGTTAACGTCGAGGCGACTCGTCTGGTTGACAATCAAAACTTTGTAAGGAAACTTTAACGTACGAGACCTCTCGAGTTAGCTTAATCTTTTTTATCTGGAACGTCATATACCTATTACGATGTTGTGGCAGATCAAAAACGAATGAAATTTTAAAAAAGTCAGTTAAAATTTTTAAAAAGTTTTAGTGGGTAAGGGGCCGACATTACTGTTCCTTCGTATAGCAGTGTCTTTCGAAATTTTTACCCTCGGCATGGCAAAAAAAAAATTTGTTTACAATATTTTGTTTCATAGCAAAGGCTTTAAATGTCAAGATGTTGTAAATAAAACCAAAAGGCAAAAAGAAAATGGAAAATATATTTCATTAAATCTTCCGCTCTTTATGTTATCTTTTGACAATTTGGAAGAGATAACCAAAATCTATAAAATAGAATAGCACATCAGAATAAAAATTGAAGCTCTTAGAAGCAGCAAGTCCATTCCGCAATGAAAAAGATTCTGCAATGCAAAAGATTCCGCAATATTTGTACACACAAAAGTTTTGCTAAAGAGAGCTGTTTAAAATGTAACCATACGACAGCAGAGTGCAACAAGAAAGATAATTTTCATCCTAAATGTGCGAACTGCAATGAGGCACACCCTGCTGATTATCGAGGCTGTTTGGTTGCAAAAGAATTGCAAAAAGATTAAAACAGAATAAAATCAAACAAAATCAAGTTAAATTTAGTGAGCTCCAAAAATAGCCAGAATAATAATACAAAGTGTTAAAGGAAGTATCATATTCGCAGGCGTTTTAAAGAAAAACAGAATATAAAAATTAATAAGGAACCTGAGAACAAAACCCCACAAATGAAAAGAACTGACGCAGACATTATGCAAGTGATGCATGGTATTGATTAGAATTGACGAGATCTCTAAAAATAGAAAATGGATAAATTATTAAAAATAGAAAATGGATAAACTGAGGTGCATTCAGGGACACCAAAGAAAATAAGAAAAGATGTATGTAAATGAAATTCATATAGTAACTTGAAATGCTAATGGTGTTCTTAATAAGAAACAAGAATTAAAGATTTTTCTCAAAACGAGAAATATAGATATTTCTTTGCTGTCGGAAGCTCATTTGACATATTATACGGGCCTTAAAAGAAAAGGTTATGACTGCTATAAAGCGGTACATCCCAGCAATCTAGCCAAGAAGAGGTAGTGCAATACTGGTAAAAGAAAGTATAGAACATAATGAAGAATTCAAGATAGAAACGGCTGAAATTCAGCTTATTTCGATAAAAATTAAATTTACCAAACAGGACTTTAGTGTCGGTGCTGTATACTATCCACCGAATTGCAGCATTAAGAAAAATTCTTTTAATGATCTCCTGTACAAACATGGACATACATACTTAATAGGAGGTGACAATAATGTCAAACATACAGATTGTGGTTCTAGAATCACCTCAACTATAGGAAGAGAGCTTAAGAAAAGCTATTCAAGAACTAGATTTTTGCTATCACTCCACTGGCACTCCTACTTATTGCCCTACTGACACTAACAAGATTCCTGATGTTATTGACTTTCTTATAACCCAAAAAAATATCCATAACAATTATGATTTTAGTTCAGATCACTCTGCTGTTATATTAAAACTAAGTGAAAAAATAATTAGAACATATTAATATACAATCAAGAGAACAATTAGATCTTGAGTTAGAAGGATTTATTAAAATCATACATTATTAAAATCAGAAACTGCATGGAACAATACAAAACGTCAAAGTACAAACCGACTGCAAATAGAATAATATTTCATATTTAAAAAAAATAATATACGAATAATATTTAAAAAAAAATTTAAATTTGTAATTAGTAATATTGTTATTTAATGGTATAAAAATAAATTATGGATTTTTTATTTTTATTTCAATCTTGTCTTTATAAATTTAAAACTCGTATTTCATATGAATATACATATGTACACCCATATCGGTAAAAACTGTATTTCATAAAGTATTAATCAGTATGTATCTTTATAAATTGCTTTATTTCTATATCACTACCTGATACTGTTTATCTACTGTACAATGTACATACATGAGCTGTATTGTACAAAACATGAACTTAATGTATAACTTTATTCAATTTTATTTCAGTTCGATGTTTTTGATACACTCGTTCGTTTACAATATTGTATTGCCTACACAACTCTTATTTCCATCTATTTATGAAGAAAAACGGAATATCTTGAGAAAAGCTCGAACTACTTCCGCTACTTCTTAAATAGATACATATGTATGTATATGTATGTAGGTAGTTTGCTAATTTCATGAAGTGAAAATTGAATTTAATTTCATAACATTATGTATATACATACATACATACATATTTGAAAGAAACCAATTTTTTAAGATTGTATAATATTATTTTATTTAATCCTTAATAATTAAAAATAATACATTAAAAACATTTGTTTTCATTTTCCTTTCTTAATCTTTGTACATATATCCAAAATCGAAGAAAAATTGAAACTTAAAAATTTTTTTGAATAAATTACCGTAAATGTTTACAAAGGAGAATTCGGCGGCTTCTTACTAAAATAAGGCGCTATATTTGGTGTTAGCACTGTATGACATATGTCGCAAACCCTTGCCATTTTTTGCCGCGGTCCAGAAGGAACTACTTTTGTTAAGCACTTTTCACAAAATATTTTGCCACAATGACGACAGTGTTGTTTCCTACATGTGACTGTGAATGTCACAGAGCAATTAGGGCATTTTTCAACATCATCATCATCTTGCCAACGAACTTGCGTATCTGCTTGACGTATACCTTCTAGGGTAATCTGAGCATTATAAAAAAAAAACATAAAAATATAATAATAGTAAGTAATAATAGGAGTCTGGCATAAAATTTGAAAAAACTTCAAAAAAAGAAAAATATTGTTAAATTGAAAGTTTGATAAAATGAGTAAAAAAAATTTATGTCCAAATGTGTTGTCACTGCCCTGGTATAATACCATCGCCTAGAAAGAGCAATTCTTATTTTTCTTTTTCGATTTGAACAAAAAATGTATAGTTTTTTTTAGAAAAAAAAAATTATAGAGGTTCAAGCGATACAGACCTTCTCATTGTCATTTAACAGAGTACTGAGTTAAATTAAGAAAAAAAAAATTAAAACAAATATAAATCGAATAATTTTCATTTTCATCCTTAAGCGCAACAATTAAATTCCTTTAATTGTTCATTTCTCTTATACTTAATATACGAAAATAAAAATTAACCAAGTAAAAACGTTTCAGTCGGTAGAAACCGATTGAATTATACCCTGCACCTTTCGTTATTATGTAGCAACTACTCGAGCCTGTGAAGTCATTCTATAGAAACTTCACGGATATGTCTGACCTATAATTGGACATCCGACTGCCAAGTTTCATGAATCTGACTTTATTCTTTTTCCAAATATTTAAAATAAGCTTTTAGATACTCGAACCTGTCAAGCAATTTAAACAAAACTTCAGAAATATATCTGATCTATAACTCGACACACAACTGCCAAGTTTCATGAATCTGACTTTATTATTTTTCCAAATATTTAAAATTAGCTTTTGGAGTTATATGGCAAGTACCTGAACCTGTCAAGCAATCCCATCAAAACTTCACAAATATATCTGGTCTATAATCGGACACACAACTGCGAAGTTTCACGAATCTGAATTTATTATTTTTTCAAATATTAAGAATAAGCTTTTAAACTTGTATGGGATCTACTCGAACCTGTCAAGCAATTCTACCAAAACTTCACAAATATATCTGACCTGTAATTCGACATACAACTGCCAAGTTTCATGAATCTGACTTTATTATTTTTCCAAATATTTAAAATTAGCTTTTGGAGTTATATGGCAAGTACCTGAACCTGTCAAGCAATCCCACCAAAACTTTAGAAATATGTCTGACCTACAATTGGACACACGACTGCCAAGTCTCATGAATCTGACTTTATTCTTTTTCCAAATATTTAAAATAAGCTTTTAGATACTCGAACCTGTCAAGCAATTTAAACAAAACTTCAGAAATATATCTGATCTATAACTCGACACACAACTGCCAAGTTTCATGAATCTGACTTTATTATTTTTTCAAATATTTAAAATTAGCTTCTGGAGTTGTATAGCAGGTACCTGAACCTGTCTAGCAATTCCTCTAAAACTTCAGAAATATATTTGACCTATAATTGGACACATGACTGTCAAGTTTCATGAATCTGACTTTATTATTTTGCCGAATATAAAAAATTTGCTGTTGGAGTTGTATGGCAGCCACCCGAACCGGTACTTCCCATTATAATTTTTAGAGCATGTTTAGAATATAATTGGACACATTTATACAAAATTTTATATTTATAACTTTATTAGTTTTTGAAATATTTAAAATAAACTCTTTGAGTTGTATGGCAGCTATCCGAACCCGTTGTCCGAATTACTCCAATACCAATAGGGTTCGTCCTTGGCACAAAAGAAAAAACTTGTGAAAGTTTGGTGTCGATTGCATTATTCGTTTTTGAGTTATCGTGCGATCGGACGGACGTACGGACGGACGGGCATTTCTAAATCGACGCAGAATTTTACGCTGATCAAGAATATATATATATGTTCATACCGCAGATGACTCCTTCAAGTAGTTACAAACTCCATACCAAAGTTAATATACCCTTCACGAAGTGCAGGGTATAAAAAGGAGATTTACTTCTTCAATAGTTGTTTTCAAACTAAACAAATAATTCTAATAGAAAATAAATTGACGAAACAGAAGTAGTTCAGAAAATTTTTAAAATGCGTTGACCTTATACTAACCAGGGCAGTGGTTTGGTTATACAAAAAAGTGAAAGTTTTGATTTTGAATCCAGCCAAAAATTTATTGTTGATCAAAGAAACTTTTTAGCAAAATAAAACTTCCTGACATAACCAAGTACATACAGTATGAATTTTGACAAATTTATGATTTTATAATTTTTCAAAAACGCTACATTTTACTTTAAAAAACTAAAACCCTTTGCGGTCCGTGCATTTTTTGCGTCTGTTGGTAGTCAACTCGAAGGACTTTTAAGAAATATTTTGTAATACGATACTTTGAAAAAAATGCTGCAATTTTTGGAAAAAATGATTTTTTATTAACTCGTATTAACTCAAAAACTTAGATAACTTAAATGTATCTAAAAATAAATTCAAATTCCAAATATTTAATTTGGTTGACATTTTTTTTATAACATAAACGGAAAAAAACTATTTTGATGAAGTTTTTGTAGAAGTGCATTAAACATCTCTAAATTATTTAAATATTGATTAATAATATTAAAATTTATTCGTACAATAGGGTAAATTAATTTAGCAGAATAATAATTTATTTCTTATAAACTTTTCTACTGAGATTACTCATGAAACAGTCGCCTACATGTAGACCGGGTTTTCTTGTATGTACATGTATCACAATGGATTAACTCAAATTGTGAAATAATTAACCGTTAAGATCGCAAATGCATACAAAACAACAAAGAACAGAGAGAGAACATGTCTAATTTTAAAAAAGTAACGGTATCAGCTATAAATTTATGTTTTGACTAGAAATTATTACAAAATAAAATATTGCCAGTTGAACTGGCCGTTGGAGTAGATCGTCTTTATTTGTTATACCAGCCAAACTGATAGTTGGAGTGCAAAGGGTTAAAAATGTAAGATTAAAAAAATGGTGACGTTATCATTTCCTCTTACTTTTGCTCAAAAATTATTATACCAGACGCTTTGCACAATAAAACAATATAAAGTTTTTAAAAATTTTCTTACACCAGACAGACTTAATATATAATACACACATGTGTAGATCACTTTCCCAAACCGTTGACCATTTGACCAACATCACACATCAATCACTTTCAAAGGCAAATAAAAATCATAGGAAGTGAAAGCTCAGACAGAAATCGTCGGCTGAGAAATAAAACAGTGTATAAAAAAAGGTATAGTTTTGAGTAAATCGCGTTTGAAGTTTTTTGCAAAATGAAAATGAAGTTTCGAATCTAAAATCTTCCGGTTGTCATCTTTGACTATCCTGAAAAGTTATGTTAAACATTTTTGGGGGAATAAATAGTTTATTTGCATAAATTTGATTAAATAAATTTTTGTAGATCTTAGAAAATTAGAGGTTTGAAATTTCTTGGTACTTCTTACACTATTTTATTTTTGGTAGAAATTGTATGAAGAAAGTTATACACTGTTTCATTTTAATTTTTTTGTATGGTATACACCATTTCATTTTTATTTATACGTTATTTTATTTTGTAAAAAATGAATATAATTTGAGAAACAAAATTAACATTACATACTTTAACTCAACGTATAAAAATATAAACAGGTATTTTTATCGATATTAATGTAACATGAAAAGTCGTAAACAAAAATAAGTAATATTAACATAAAAGATAATTCAAATGTACATTATTTCTACTTGAAAATTTGAAACTTAATTTTAAAAATTAATTATAGCTCTTCAATCTCGTCTTCTGAATAGCTTGGTTCGTTTAATTTAGATAAATTATTTTTAGATTAGGCTTTTTCTGCCAAGTTTTGATAAAATGCTACTGAATGTTTCTAACTAAGATTGATTGATCATGTTTTCATATTGCGCACATGAAACGAGTAATTAAATTTTGTATTAAAGATTCTTTTATAAGTATGCTAGCCAACTTTTATGTGTATTTTATAATGCTTAAGTTAATGTGTTGGCAGTTGCAAACTCCGTTGTAACTTTCTTTTGCTTTGAATTCTTTCTTTTTTAATTTTTTTTATTGCTTTTTTACATTTTCACTTGGATTAGTACTTTATAAAATTTTTTCGAGTAGTGTTTCCGCTGATGTAGATGTAATGGTTTCATTATCAAACGTTTAGTCTATAAAACATTCTGTAAGTTTTTCTGGTTCCGCTTCACCCGTTTCAGATGCTGAACTCTTGCTAGGTTCATAATTGTCATCAGAACCAGAAGAAAAGTCTGTAATAGAATTTTCTGGTGACTTCTCGAAAAATGTTACCACTTCTTCATCATAAAAATTTTTATTCCTTTTCTTTTTACGTAACACAACAAAATTATTTTAATTGTTGTGAGTATAAAATTTTGCCTTAAATTATTAATTATTTGCTTCACTTATTAAAAAAGTTATAACTTTAAGTTCTGTACTGATCAACAAAATCCAACAGAATACTTATTTCTTAAAAATATTTGTCTTATACATGAAGATGCATATAGAATTAAACACAATTAAACAAGTACAATGTACATATGTACGTTTGTTTTGTACGCTGTTTTATTGCATTGTTTGCCAGGGAAGACGATTCAAAATTCAAAATTAAAGTAGTGTATAAGACAATATGAAACAGTGTATCAAATTCTTACACCGTTTTACTTCTCAGTTTATTGCAAAAATTTTTTTTATTAAAATTTAAAAAGCGTGTAAAAGTAACATACACTTTTTTATTTGGTATTGAAATTAACAACTGAATGATAAATTTTCTACCAAAATAGTGTAAGAATTCATTACGTTATTTTAAATTTTGTAAAAAATTACGGTTTGGCAATAAAACAAAGTAAACGCATTTTACGCTATTTTGTTATTAATTAGTTTCTAAAAATGCTTTATACAATATTTTCGTTTTTATTTAAAAAGTATGTTAGAATGAAAAGATAGAGAAATATAAAGTAACTCAACTTATAGAATCGACTATGGAGAATCCAATGGTGATAAAATCGGATAACGACGTATAAATGTTATACGCTGTTTTCTTTCTCAGCCGACGAAATTATGTGATGGCGCTGAGATGTCTTTTACCTTTTGAGAGCACACATGTTCCACTTTTTTCCAGCAATATTTAAAAAATGAGATAAAACATATGTATTTAAACCAGTCTTAATAAAAACAAAATTACCTAACGACTTTACTTTTAGCTCTCACTGAGAGCAAATGCAAACTATTTCAGACTATATTTTATAACTACTTGAAACTATAAGAAACTGTAAGGGTTTTTCTTTTACTTTGTTTCAAAAATGGCCATGTGTACCATTAATGCAAATTTTTTTAGTAAAAATTCTATTATTTTGTTCTTCTTGATATATTTTTCATTCCATTTTTTTTGTTCTTTTTTTTATTGAATATTTTAAATAATAGACAAAATAGTGAATAGATTAATAGATGAAGAGGGTGAAGGAGATCCAAACCTAGGAGATATTGGTGTGTGAAAAGTTAAGTCTGATTATGAGGAAAAAATATTTCATCAACTTCCAACAACTTCTACAATAAGTTATATCATTAAAGGGAAAAATTACTTTAGATAAAGCTCCCAAGTTCTCGAATGTCTTGGTAGATTAAAAATTTCTAAATTAGTGCTTCATTTTTCCGACCGAAAGATATAGCTAAAGACGTTACCACATCTCTAGAATCCTACGAAGTATTATTTGACAATATCATGATAGAACTCATAGTAAAGTAACTTCGATTATTACTTCCAGAAGTAAAAGAACCTTATCTGTCCGGTACAGAAGAGTCACGAAATTAAGTAAAAGAAAAAGGTGTAACTTTTGTGTTTACAAGTTAAAAAAAACGTTCATATACGTGTTGGAATTTATTGGCAAATAAGTGATTTCATTAACGACTACATTGCATACAATAAGAGAATTTATGTTATTATTCTCAATAAATTTTGCATTTTCCTTGGTAGGAAAGTGTAAATAAACTATTTTTAGAAACCTGTCGCCCTGTCTGCCCGGCTGAACCGATCTTCTTGAAATTTTATATGTGAGTTTGTTTTGGCTATGTCGCGGATTTATTAACTTTTTTGATATATCAGCCTTGGATTTTTTTGCGAGCCAATTTTAGATGTTTGCCTATATAAAGAGAAATAATTAGTCAATTTCATTGCGGTCGGTTATGTACTGATCACATTAAATTTTTTGAGATTGAAATACAAAGATATTAAAAAATAAAAAGTCTAATGTAAATTTAAGAAGAAGCGACAAAAGTGGTACAAGTTTGCCCTAAAAGCTCCTATAATATAAGTGTGCTCTCAAAAAATTAATTTTACTACGGAAATTTTAACCAAAACAAAAATCAGCTGGTCGTTGTTACAAATTTAAAAAATTAATTTTTTCCCGCTTTACTGTTAAAAAATCTGAGAGTAAATCTAATGAGAATAAAGTAATTTCTAATTTCTTAGATTTCGCCGTACATGTAATTTGTAACTAAAGATTGAAAATCACTTGCGCTAGCAACAAGAACTGAGGCACGTAACATTAGCCCCGATCTGTAGCGGAATTGATAACTTTGATAACTGATGTTTTCCAAAGAAGATGGCTACTTACCTGAAGGGATTGAGAAAGTTTTACGAAGTCTTTTTGCACATCTTCTCCCATTTTCAAATCTTCTTGCAGATTAATTATTTTACATTTCAAATCATCATTATTTCTTCTTAGTTTTTCCTAGAATTTCAATATTTTAGTAGAAGTTGCAAAAGCTTTACATTTCATAAGCTTTACATTTTCTCCTTGTAATTCAATAACTTGCACTCTTAATTCAGAAATACTTTTACTCATTTCTGATTCTTTTCTTTCAGCTTTTTCCTTTTTCGTCTCATAATCTTCACCTTGAAGTAGATATTCACGCAAACGATCACTAAAAAGAGATTTGAAACTAATTTTATCATTATATTAACTAGACTTACTTTAAACATCTGATTTGTTTTTGTACTCTTATTTTTTCTTCTTCATTTTCTTGATTATTTAGCTTTAGTTGTTCTCTTAAAATATTGTTTTCATCAATAAAAGCAACATTTTTCTTTTTTTCAAACTCTACACCCACTCTCGCTTGTATCAAGTCACTTTGAAGACGAAGAATGTGTTCATGCAGCTCCTCAACATTATTGGGCAAGTTAATATTTTGATTTTCCAATTCTTCTGAGGTTGCCAAAAACCTTCCCGATAAGTAATCGTTATCATTCTGAAGTGCTTCCAGATGTTTGTTAATATTTTCACGATCTTCAGTAATACGGTATAGTTGTTTGGTAAATGTGCTTTTCATCTCAAAAAATTTTTCGGTAACGTTATGCAACTGTTTTTCAGTTCCGATAATTCGCTCGGTTAGTTTTATTACTTCTTCTCTATGAACTTCCCTCTTACCTTGCCACTGAATTTCTAGATCTTTACGAAGTGCAGCTTCTTTGGCCAATTCACTTTTATATTCAGCAAGTACTTTCTCAAGCTTGAATAGCGTTAGCTTATCATTTTTTTCAATCTGCTCTAGCATAGAAATATTTTTATCCTTTAAAATACAATTTTCACATCCAAACTGCATTGATGTTGATTTATCAACTTTGCGCACATAAATTTCTCCAGATTTTATTTCATCTGATGGGCTAAGTTTATTTTCTAATGCAATCTTTTTCTAAAATATTCAAATTTTTCTGAGAAACTTGCAATAAATTTTTTTTTATCAAACCTCATTTCTATTTCGGTAATATTGAAGTTCATCATCAGCTGTTCTTAATTTTTCTTTTAAAGCTTCAATTTCTTCTTCAAGAGAAATAACAAGAGATCTTAAGATTTGGGCATCTTCTTTAGCCTTAAAAAAATTATTTTACATTTTACATTGAAGGTGTTGCTTAAGTAAATTTACATATTTATTGGATTTTATAAACTCTTCTTCATTTTCTTCCTTGGTACTAATACTACTTATAGTGTTATCACCCACCAGTTTTTTTGTTAAAGATTTTACATGGCTTAGAACAGGTACTAGGCTTGATTGTTCCTATGAAATCATAAATTTGTAATTTTAAAATTTTTTATTATCTGAAATTACCTGGCGTTCAATTATTTCTCCTTTTAGACGTTCATTTTCAATTTTTAATCGGTTATATCCCTCAAGTAATTTTTCTAAGTCATTTTTGCAAATAGTCGATTCTTCAATAGTTTCTACAAAATCAATAAATAAGCATAACTTTGATATTTGTACTTTGCTAAACTTTCTTGATAAATGGTGATACAGCTCTTACCTGTTATGTACATATGTACATATATAAGAACTTCATTTTCTTCCAATTTACCTTGTACTATATGATGAAGAGAAGAAATTTCTTCTTGTGCCTTACGATCAATCAATGATATTTCATTATCTTTTCTACATTCAGCAACGAAAAACTGACTCCTCATCTCGTCAAGTTCCTGTTTTAACATTGAACATTCGGATTCTTTCTGCAAAAATATTTCTTTTAGCTTCGCCCTTTGAATATTAAACTCGTCGTGAATCTTTTTGTTTTCCGCCTGCAGTTGCTCTACCTTTTCTAATAAATCTAAAATTTACAATCAAATAAAACTTTTTTTCAGACATTAATTAAACAATAAAATTTACCCGCTTCTAATCTACTTGACATATCAAATGATTTTTTGTTGGTTCCTTCCCTAGCCTAAATATTTTGAAAATACTCTGATAGTTGCATGCCAGTTTTTATATAAACAAATTATAAAAGCCTAATTTTATTTTGAATGACTTAAACTGATACAGTATTACCGTGGATGTACAATAACATATGGACAGCTACTTTTGTGTAAATTAACATTACAAAAGATGTTCTGTGACTGTCAGCCGTGATGTGTAACGTAGAAAAAATATTTACCTAACATAAAGTGACCATGACTTCAATAATGCGCTTAAAACGTAAACTTTACAAAGTATCACATTCCAAAAAGTTTAGTTAAAGCTCTTGACATTGTACACTTTTATAATATAGTGTACGTATATAGATAAAAAATTTCTTAAGGGGAAATTATTTGGGACAAATCGTGAAAGGGAAAAATCGTGAAAGGGAAGAATCGTCTAGAAAAATGATGAATTATCTATAAGAAAATAAGAGTTTTTTTATAGAGTCCTATATGTTAATGTAGGATATGATTCCTTATTAATGTGAAATCAAGTATGTATGTTTTTGAACTTGTTACACAGATTCAATATTCTACTGACAGGTTCGTGTTTACAATAGTTAATTCTTTGAAAAGAACTACAAGAAAATCAGATTTAACATTGGAATTGACGACAATCTTTCTTAAAATATCGGGAGATATCAAATCAGATAAAGTGGGTAAATCAATCAATTTTAGCCTGTCTTCCTAAGGAGGAAGAAAAATAGGCTCCTCACAAAGAAGGTAATAAAGCCGACTTACTACTATTTTTATGAATATTGTAAGAAGGCGACCAAACTTGTGAGGCATATTCAAGATGGGGACGAACCAGAGACAAATATGGGGACTTGAAAATATAGGTGTCATTAAACTCTTGTCATTAAAACCTTTGACCAATGTTTAATAAATCCCAACATAGAGTTTGCCTTCTTAACTATATAACTTTAGCGATTGGCAAATGAAAGCTTATTATCAAAGCAAACCCCTAAGTCCATAATTGAATCAATCCTACTAAGAACTTGACCATTTAAAGTGTTATCTAACGTTGATTTTCAAGTTGTTAATATTGCACGATTTGCAAATGTTATCAAGATCACTCTGTAAGGAAACTGCGTTATTTACTGAACGAATCCTCTTGAAAATTTTCATATCATCAGCAGAAATTACAGCGATTATGAAGAGCAATGGACCAATGCTGCCCTGGGGAACTCCAGAACTAGCTACAAACAGAGATGACACCGATGAACGAAGAAGGACCCTGTATATCGTTCCACAAAGATAAGAGCGAACCCAACTTACAAAATTATTGGAAAACCACAATAACATCAACTTCAAAAGAATTGTACATCCGTTTGATACCCATCTTCCGTATTAGGAACTATGGGATTAAAAAAATTGGAGGCAGCTTCCACCAAATTAATCACCGTTGACTTCTTCTTCAGAAAACCGTGCCGGAACCTACTAGTGAATAGAATGCAATCATATATCATTAGTTCAAAAATTTTTTAAATGCCCGAAAGTTTAGCAATAGGACAATTATGAAAAGGTTTATGTGGTTTAAATAAAATGACAATTTAACTATTTCATGAATATGATATATACGATTTCAGTATAATGTACGGTTATGTTCAAAATCACATTTCTATGAATCTATTATTCATTTTTGGTCAACCAATTAGAAATACTAATGGAAGGAGCGTCCTTGTTTCTATGTCGCTTACGCTCCCTAAAATCGTATCTTGAAAAAAACATAGTGAAGGCAAAAAACTTCAGATAAGTCCATTTCTTTGCCCCGACCATTGTCAAACTGAAATTAACATTAAATGTCAAATGTTGCTGCTTTTTTTTCTTGTACGCGGCGTATAAGAAGTGAACAAAGAAAAATTATTTATTTTATTTATAAAATTAGTTCAATTTTGTAAATCATAAAATATTTAATAATAAGTCTAAAAAAAGAGGATTACTTGAAAATTCAAAAATAAAAACAAATATAAGTAAAAAAAAATTGTTGAAAAGGAAAAAAGGTGTAAGTTTCTCAATTGTAATTCCAACAAATAGCTTTTTCTTAAAATTTGTTAAAATTATACTGTTGTAGAGTTATTAAAATTTGTATGTATTTCAACTTATTGTTATTAATATTTTTTGGAGTTGTTCAGTAAAATTGTCAAACAAAACTGATAATATAAGAAATTTTTTAACAAAATATGTTCATTTTTGAGGATCATAAAATATCATGATATTAAAATATTTATAGTTATTTGCAATTTACAAAATAAAGTTATTCAAAAAGAAAAAAAAAATTATGAGTTTTGTTTGAATTTGTCTTTTTTTCCACAGATATCTAAAATGAAAAAAATATTTTGAAATATTAGTTTTTGCTTTAAATATGAGTATGAGTCTATTATTTTCATTACTTCGACTATTATTAAGTAATAGAATTTTTCGCAAAAGCAATATATCGTGACATATAGAGAAAACTGCGCTCATATATTTATGCTCATAAACAAATCTTGCCAACGGGTATCCGTGACTTCAATAATGCTTTATAAAAAGTTTAAGTACGGAACTAATACGATGGTACTACAGTCTCAGAGCTTTCAATACCTAAACATTGTAAAAAAAGACTGCTAAAAATTTTGATACGTTTTGGAAAACAATTTTTGCAACATTAATACATGCATACTTGTTTAAAAAGTTTTGTGCAAATGTTAATTTTTAACAGCATTACCACATCAATAAGAACATAACACTTTTATGGTGCATTTTAGAAAAAACTTAATAACTAGCATTTTATTGCTGAAAATGTATGCTAATTTATTTAATTATTTATTTAATTATTTATTTTTTTAATTAATAATTATCTTAATTATTTAATTAAGAAAAGCGTGCTTGATTCTTTCGATACCCAATTTACTTTTATTTTACGTATTCACTACGTATAGAAGGCACTTAGGAAAAATGTACTATGTAAAGAGCTCTTACTAAACTTTTTGGAATATAATACTTTGTAAAGTTTGCGTTGTAAGCGCATTATTGAAATCACGGTATTAGAAGTCCGGTTGAATCATAGGATTCAACAATAATATTTAATTATTTATAATTATATGTTTTGAAAAGTCAATATAATTATTTATTATATTCAATTTAAAACAATTTTAAACGTCAAACACGATGGTTATTATTAGCATTAAATTGATTTATCTCAAAACTCATACTATAACAATTGATTAGAAATTAAAAATTTTAGTACAATTTCTATCCAGCTTTACCGCTTTATCGTGTACCTCGCTCTTTTTACTCGCTTTTTATTCACTTTCAAATCTGAATCAGAAGTATTTTCAAAAGGATGTTACAAGGTCCAACAACATTACTAATTTTTTAATTGGATTTGTATTTTTTCTTCTGCGAAAGAAATTAAACTTATTTATCTAGATTTAAAAAAAATTTATGATTTTTTAAAAACGTTTACATTAGAATAAAGTTATTTTTTTTACACTTATTTTATATACCAGAGCGGTTTCATTGCAGTCCCTTAACTACAGTGAACAGATAAAATCAAATGTCAGTATTTTGTATATTAAACCACACACTCATGGAAACAAAAGATGAAAGAAAAAACGGGCAGCGCTAAAACGGGACTTTAGGCTATTTCAGCGCCAACCACAAACTCCGCGTTGGTAATTCCGATTTATTCTAGGCAAACCTATTATATATTATGCATATTTTATACGAATTTTGAAATTTTGCCGCGGTAAATCGCTCTTGTTTTATTTTCAACTTAAATCTTACCAACATGTTACCATAATATCGTACTTCGCAAAAACACCCTGTTAAAATTCCTGTTAAATACTTCTTTCCGATTTTTGGGGCATTAGTAAGCTTATAGTTAGCATACTTAGATACCTAGGTGTGATACCTTGTAATTTGGCTCTTAGTAGCTAGGTTAATAGGTTCATTGTTTTAACATCTAGAATTTATATATTAAATTTCAATTAAATCGGTTAATTATTTTTCGTTCTATACGCTATAAAATGTATCTTTGGCAGGTAGTAAACGTGCAGATTCTGACTCCTGATTTCTTCTAAAAGTTAGGAGTTTGCGGACGCTCAAATGAAGTTTAAATATAAATTTTCAGGTAAATCTGTTGAATAGTTTCTTCAAATTGATCAAAAATGTAAAACAGGCCCGTTAAAAATTCCAGTTCCCGAGGTCGGATATATCCCAAAAGTTGATCAGTCCCTGCCATAGTCGAAATAAAGTCATATGTAAAGTTCTGGCAAAATCGGTTCACCTGAACTTGAGATATACGCGTGTGCACACACACAGACAGACCGACAGCAGACACGTTGCTAAAAATAGTTTATTTCCACTTCCGTTCCCACCAAAAACTCGATATGCAAAATTTGTTGCCATCACACAACCTACCTTATTGTACATATACAATGCGTTCGGAAAAAATAACAGGATTATTTCACTCTATTTTCGTTTTTAAGTATTCATTTTATGATTCACGGATCATGCACTAATTTTTCTGTTAATTTAATTTACTCTGCAGAAATCTACTTTGAATTGTGTAGTATGACTATACATATGGCAACAATCAATAACAATATTAAAAATAATTACATATACCACAAACACATGTAATTAACTTATGAGAATATGAAAATAAAACTAAAAAGAATAAGTTGTGAAATATTACCACTCTAAAAATATTCACATTAATGTTGATAGAAAAAGCCGACATTCATGCAAGAAATATAACATTTTTCATGACCAAAACTCACGAACATTTTCAAAAATAAAGTCATTTTCATAAAAAGAAATTATCAAAACTTGCCTTTCCTTAATCACATTTCCATTTTCTCATTTTTTGTAATTTCTTTTCATTAAAATTAAAAAACGAAATTGTTGCTAGAGTTGGTTTTAATTTATGTGGAGGGCCAAAGTATACGTCACCTATTTTATAAGTAAATCGACTTTCCGTTTACATCATACTAATGTTATCACTCACCAATATTTGTACAATTGAATTGGAAACGCTAAAGGAAGGAGAATCTTCAAAAAACAATGAAGCGAAATTTTTTCAAGTTATCTCTTTCTTTGCTTCGGTATTGTCAAAGGCGTAACAAGAATGTATTTATTTTATTTTCTTGTCGTGCCTCTACTATGAAATACATATGTATGTGTAATT